AAATGCCTTCTATATATATATATATATCTAAATATATTAAAAAATGAATTTAAAAAATGTCTTATATTTAAAATGAAGATAATATTTCATTTATATTATATTGAAAAACGATAAATTAAATAAAACATTAAGTTCTCGTAACAACACTATAATAAATAAAAAAATGCAAAATCTCATAATTCAATTCATTTACATGATAATAAAGTAGTAGATAATATAATATAAATTTCAATCAATGATCACATAACTCAATTGATAGAAAGTTATATAACTTAATCAATAGTTTCAAATTTAAAGCCTAAGTATATAACTATATCAAATACACATTGACAGAGCTTTGTCACTTTTTCAGGCTAACCTAACTCAATTCAAATTAATTAAAGTATAACATAACTCACGCATACAAGGTAGAATGTGAAGCTCCATTATGCAATCACCTTATCAATAGGGAAATCCCATTTTATTTGATCTGAACTGTTTTTAAATCAGTGACTACAAATGATGTGACTCTAATAAGGTATTTAAATATGGAAGAATAACAAAAAAAATCCCAAAATGATCAATTATTATAACTTAAGTCTCAAGTGTTAAGTTTTAAAAAATTTGTAAGTTCGATTCTCAATTTTACAATTTCGTTGTAATAAATTTATAACTTTTGTTTTAAATTTTAACAAGAAAAACAAATTATTTATTATTCAACAATGTTAAAATTTGAAAAAATAAGTTGCAAGTTCATTACAATAAAATTGTAAAATTGAGGACTGAACTTATAAATTCCTAAAGTTTGACATTTGAAACATAAGTTAAATTAATTAATCCTTTTGAGATCTCTCTATCATTCTCCCTTTAAATATTTCTCTTGTAGTGAAGTCATAGCTTATAAAGAAATATGAGAAAGCATTATCAATTCTTTGGACTGAGATTTGGCACAAGGCCAGTCCCTGATATCATCAAAGGCACCAAGTCCACAGTCTCCGTTCAGACAATGATTGTAAGCATTTTACACAAACAATCATACAAGACCCTAAACCTTTCTAAACTTGTACCATTTGTTTTGCTCAGCAGAAAATGAGAAAGATATACCATTTGGCATTAGCATGCCTTAGTTGCAATTACAGGTTTTCAGTTTTTACCAATTGGCACCATCTGCATCCCGGGACTGGTAGAAATCGTTTGGCCGAACAATGCTGACCTCCTCAAACTCATTATCATCTGCAAGCAACAGAATTGACAGATGGAAGAATTTTTCATTATATTGTTCCAGAAAAGCCAAAAGAAACAGTCCTGAGGCTTTAGAATATGTAAAAATTGAATGTTATATTCCGACAAATACAATGAAATTAAATTTCATCGACCATAAGGAAACACTGCCTGTCCAACATAACGAGAAGGTAACGCAAAGAGGGAGTAGAGTAGAAAATCTTTATATTAATGTCTGCTGCTTACTCGTAAAGATCATTCTAGGGGGGGGGGGGGGGAACTACAGATGTGAATCTATGCTGAGTTGGATATGCATGGGTGAGTACAAGTGACAGGTGAAACTATCATCAAAAGGAGTAAAGGACCATCTAAAAAACCACCAATTCAGAAAATTTCCCTGAATATGTCAATTAGTACTTAGACAATGGTTGAAGAGTGCAATTCTACAAGACAAATCATGCATGTAACCAAAATCAATGTGGAACAAGATGTGTAACATTATTTAGATTGAAAAGCATCATTTTCATCTGTGGCTTTGACTATAGTAATTAGTAAACAGAACAGACAGCTGTTTGACAAGTAGGGTGTGTTTGGATTACATTACTTCAAATTGAAAGGAGTGTTAAAAGCAAGGAATTTAGGTGCTAGGTGCGTGTGAGTGTGAGGAAGATGGATGTCACATGTGCTTGCATGGTGCGAATGAACATGTATGTGTGTATCAGCAAACCTGCAACATGCTTGTATATATTCATAATTATGCATGTAGTGTGTGTTAAGCATGCATATGCTTACTCACTTTTATGCATGTTGTGAGTGCACGCACAAACATGTGCAAATGCATCATTGCTTGTTTGAGTTAGGAGAAGCACATGTTCATTCATGCACATACCTATATGCATGTTTATTTATGCATGCGCATGAGCACATGCAGATGTGTCAACATATACAAACACATATCTGTGTGTGTATTTATATACGCATGGCCGCATGCATGTATCTATCTATATATAATTTTGTATCAAGAAACTGGTGCTTCAAAAATGAGAGGATGAAATTACGTAATTCTACCTAAAAGGTAGAGTTTTTTTTTTATTATTATTATTTTCAAATTTACTTGATTAAATTACCTTCAAAATTTGAAAAGAAAATGCCCCCTAAGTCAAACGATTTCAGTAAAGCGATTCAAATACCTCCAAAAAGTCTTTCCCCTATTAAATTACTCATCCGAACATAAGATTAGGGAACAAGTTTTGATCCAATATTGGCATTACAATTATAACATCTTGGATTTCAACTTTAGAAATTTTCCACTATTTAAAAGGGTATTTTAGTCAAATTAAATAAATTTTTGGTTAATGATGTTTTTAAGAGACTAATGCATATGACGAACATTGGACAATCTTAAAAGAAGGCTAGATTGGAGTTTAAGTTGGCCGTGGCACAGAGAAAGGCCCAAAACGAGTTTAGGGTTCTCTGCATTTATCAATTCACAAAATCAGACAGACAATGAGAAGTGAGATAGAGAGAACACGAAGAGACAATGAGCAATGACCGATGGGTGCTAGGGCTCAACCTTCAAATCACTTTAGAAGCATTTGGAGCAAAATTTAGCTTTGGGTAAGCTTCCTTCACCTCTCCTCCCTATATTCAAACTTTTTTGATGATTAGGATATTTTGGGGCTTTGATTCGATTTTTTCTTGGATAATGGCTGAACCCATTACTTTAGTTAAACTCTTGGATAGTTAAATCAAGCCTCTAAACCTACACTTATGATTTGTATAATGATTTGGAATTGGTGGTTAAGGTTTGGACGAACCTTAAATAGAAATTGAATGATTACGAGCAATGTAGGTAATGTATTGGAAGGATTGTTAGGGTTAAATTGAGATTTTGAGTATAATGGGTACCTTTAAGGGTGTTCACAGGACGGGACGGGACCGGGACACCCCTATCTCATGTCCTGTCCCGAAAAAGGACCAGAATTGAATTTTTGTCTCGTGTCCCATCCATCTCAATAGGAATCAGGACGGGGACCAGAATAAAATTGGGACGTCCCGCTGTCTTACAGTCCTGATAAACAATGTCGGAGAAATATCTGGATAATAATATTCATTAAAATTTTAAATTATATAATTTATTAAGTTTAAAATTAAAACAACACAAATACATAAATCACAACAATTTAAAGTCAATTATTGCATTACATTAATCACTATTACACATTATGATAGCAATTACAAGTGATCTCTAGGCTATAGGAGTAGCAACAATAGGTAAGTCAAGCACAAAATCAAATCACTATTTTTCTACTTTAGCTGAGATGTGCTAAGCTAATTACTCTTTTGAAAGTAAAACAACAAATATAATATAAATAAAAATTATTAAATAGATAAACATAAGAATAAATTGTGTTAATATAATTAATATATTATAAAGAAAGATATCACCCTGTTTACTTTGTCATTAAAATTATCAATATAAAAAACTTTAGTTTTATATAAGAATTGCAAGTATTAAAATTATAATTGATATAATTAATATAAGTATAAATTATATTAATATAATTAATATATTTAATGTATATTTTTAAAATAAAAAAGAATATATATAACATTCGAGATGGGACAGGATGAGATGTCCCGATAGTAATCCCGTGTCTTGTCCCATCCCAAACCCTTTCTTATCCCGTCTCGATTACTTTCGAGTCGGGACAAGACCCGTCCCAATATGATCAGGACGATATCAGGCCAATAGGGACAGGTACAAGCTGAACACCCCTAGGTACCTCTAATTGTATTATAAAATGGGGCGATTAGTGTGGGGATTGATAATTAAGGGTTCAATCTTGTAGATTAGCCTTTGATCGAGTATTGCGGTGTATAGTGAACGCTTGTGGAGCCGTTGGTTGACCACGGTAATCCTTTTAGTAACAAAAGGATTGAGACAATTAGATTGTCTAATCTTCCTTTTTGTGTGTTTGGATGATAGTGTGTTAAATTTTAAAATTAATGTTTTGGTTTGGTACTAGCATAGTAATAATATGAAAGTATGATTTTTGAAGTTATGTGAAGTGGAATGAAAAGTTATTTAATGTTTTGGTATTTGGAAAGTAAGTTCTATTTTTTATGTATAACTACTTGCAAAATTCTATGGTTTAAATGAAAATGAGCAATTGTGATAAATTATACGTTATGACTATGTGTTGAAGCATTGAGCATGTTTGGCATGATCATTGTGAAAGGGTGGGAGTTCACCCTAGTGTGTTGTTAGGACATTGTTTGGAACTCCATATGGTACACTAACACCGTAGAGGCCTCGATGCTCAGTATTATATTGTTTGGAAGTCCCAATACTACGTGCGATAGATTGGATATCAACACCCCTAGTATTCGTGAACAGGGAAAATCTATTGTCCATAATGGGCGAAGGCGCTCTTAGCCGGGGCTGCCTCCTATTAATGGTGAGCTTAGGCTAGTCCAATCACATGAACTTAGTTCTATCGAGTTGTCAGCCCACAAATTTAGTCGAAAGACATAAAGAAGATATAAAGTGGTGTGTTGACCATGCATATCATATCATAATCATATGTGTGGACTTATGTGACTTGTTATATGTTTTATTATGTCACTTCACATACGCACAAACTGTTCTCATACATGAATAGTTGATTAGACTATTGTTGCGTAGAAATAATTTGGACTTATAGGAATTAGGAAGAGATGAGGGAAAAAATGAGAGAAGAACAGAAAGATAGGTAAAGGCAGAGAGGAATGAGAGATTAAGAAGAGGTCGAGAGAAATTGAGGAACAAGGAAATTCTATTTAATCACTGCTGAGATAAACTACAATTCAAATGCCTTAACATATATATAGGCTTCACTCACTTACCTTACCCAACGGCTAATTTCACAGCGCCGCTAAACCGTTATTCAATTCTAACTAACTAACATTAACATTTTATAAAACTATAACAATACCCCACCCCTCAAAAGATCCTTGCCCTCAAGGATCATTGATAACAAATTGAGGAAATTTTTGTTGCAGCTGATGTAGAGGCATCCAAGATGCTTCCTCATCAGGTAATTGCTTCCACTTAATCAGAACTTCAATAATAATCCATCCCTTCTTTCTTCCAACTCGTTTTTGTAGAATATTTTTGAATTCTAAGGCTGGAGGTAGCTCTGGCCAATCAAGAGGGGGATGCCTTTGCCTTACTTTAGGGTCAGGACAAAGCTTTAATAGAGAAATATGGAAAGTTAGGTGTATTCTTGATTCAGCTGGTAGCTCAATTTGTAGGCAACAGCACCTATTCTTGTAATGACCTTGTAAGGACCAAAATATCTAGGATCTAGCTTTTGATTACTCCTTGCAGCAGCAGAAATTTGTCTATAAGGCTGCAATTTAAGGAAAACCCATTGACCAACAGCAAACTCTCGATCAGTCCTATGAGAATCAGCCTTTTGTTTCATCAGATTGGCTGCCCGATGAAGATGATGCTTCAAAACAGCTAGCACAGCTTCTCTAGCTGAAAAAGTCCTGTCTAAAACATCCAAAACAGAACCATTAGGTAAATAAAGACAATGAATAGGGGCTTTCTGACTATATAAAAGTTCATGAAGAGTTGCTTTTGTGGCTGTATGAAATGTGGTATTATACCACCATGCAGCTTGTGACAACCACTTGCTTCAATCTCTTGGTTGTTCCCAACACATACATCTAAGATAGGTTTCTAAGCACCTATTTAGGGCTTCGGATTGTCCATCTGTTTGAGGGTGATATGCAGTTGAAAGTTGTTGCTTAACTCCCAAAACTTGCAAAAATTCCTTCCAAAACCCACTCACAAATATAGGGTCACGATCACTAATAATTTCAGCGGGTGCACCATGCAATTTATACACATTATCCATAAAGAGTTGTGCTAAAGAAGAAGCTGAATAAGGATGAGTAAGAGGTATAAAATGGGCATACTTACTCATTCTATCAATTAATACCCAAATGTATCCTTACCATGAGATTTAGGAAGTCCTTCTATAAAATCCATTGCAATACTCTTCCAAACTCGACTTGGAATTGAAAGAGGTTGCAACAGCCCTGGTGGAGCAATAGCTTCATATTTACAATGAGCACATGTATCACATTGCTTGATAAAATCAGTCACATCATTAATCAATTTTTTCCACCAAAATAATACCTTAATTCTATGATAAGTGGCTTGAATTCCTGAATGCCCTCCTTGGAAACTAGAGTGTAACCACTCCAAAATTTGTTGTTTCAAATTAGGCTCATTCCCAATTACTAGCTTTCCCTTCCTTCTCAACAATTCTCCATCCCAAGAAAAATGCCGCCATGTACCACTATTTTCTTGAGCTTTCTTCTGTATTTTGAAACCACAGCATCACTTCTCCAACTTCCCTTGATTTTGTCCAGCAATTCAGGAGAAGAAGTATCTAAAACCATCTGCATCAGTTGCTGTTTGGGTATTCTTGAGAGAGCATCAGGTGCTGAATTATTATTCCCCTTCTTATATTGTATTTCGTAGTCAAACCCAGCTAGTTTTGCAACCCAAAACATCTGAAATGAGGTCTTTAGCTTCTGTCCCAGTAGATATTTCAGACTTTGTTGGTCAGGCTGATTATAAACTGTTTCCTCTCAAGGTACTGATGCCAATGAAGGACAGCAAGGACCACCGCCATTAATTCCTTTTCATATATAGAAAGGTGCTGGTGTCTTTCAGCTAAACCTTTGCTAAAGTAGGCAATTGGCTGCCCTTGCTGCATTAGTACTGCCCCCATGCCAAAACCACATGCATCTGTCTCCACCACAAATTCTTTAGTAAAATCAGGAAGAGAAAGGACAGGTGCAGATGTTAATACCTCTTTGAGATTATTAAATGCTTTCGAGGCCACTTCTGACCATCTGAACCCATCCTTCTTAAGAAGGCAAGTTAGTGGCTTGGCTAAAGCTCCATAACCCTTGATAAACCTTCTGTAGTAACCTGCCAATCCTAGAAACGCCCTTAGTTGTTTCATGGTCTTAGGTTCAGGCCATTCAGCAACTGCTTGAATCTTCTTTGGATCTGTTTTAACTGTCCCTTTACCAATTAGATGACCCAAATATTCTACCTCATTGGCTGCAAAAGAACACTTGCTCATCTTGACATAATACTGATGTTTCCTCAAAATGGAAAAGACTTCCTTAAGATGCTGCACATGGTCATCCAAATTAGCACTATAAATTAATATATCATCAAAAAATACTAGCACAAACCTTCTCAAATAAGGACGAAATATGCTATTCATGGCTCCTTGAAATGTGGCTGGGGCATTAGTTAGGCCAAATGGCATAACCAGCCACTCATAATGCCCATTATGCGTTTTGAAAGCAGTTTTCCCAACATCTTGAGGCACCATTCTAATTTGGTGATAACCAGCTCTAAGATCTAGCTTGGTGAAATATTTTGCAGTATTCAATTCATCAAAAAGGTCTTCTACCAAAGGAATAGGATATTGATTTTTTACTGTTTTCTTATTTAATTGTCTATAGTCTATACACATTCTCCAAATTCCATCTTTTTTCTTAACTAAAACTATAGGAGCAAAAATGGACTTGAGCTTTCTTGAATTACCCCCCTTGCAATAACTCCCCACTAACCCCTCAATAACATCCTTTTGAGCTGAGGGATATCTGTAAGGCTTTAAGTTTATAGGATTAGTGCCCTCTTGAAGAACAATAGAATGATCATGCCCCTTCTTGAAAGGGGGTGACCCTTTAGGCACTTCAAAGAGATCAGAAAACTCTTGTAAAGTGGAAGAGATTACTTCTGGAATTTCTGAACAGCACTGGATAGAGAAAATTTCCACCTTTTCTTGCCCTTTTGGTATTAATTGTAACAAAAATACCTGACCAGTATTAAAATCTTCACTTTCCAGCCTCTTTAGCTGCCACACGTAAGGTATTGGGAGGGGTAGCTTGAAGTTTGCACATTTTCCCTTCAAGCAAAAAGAACATAGTTAAAGACTCATAATCCCAGAAAGCATTTTTAATACTTTTGAGCCACTTAAGCCCAAGCATCAAATCATAAGTATGCAAATCAAGAACTCTAAAATCAAAAGCAAATTCTAAGCCCTGCATTTTCCATTTAAATCCTTCCCAAATGCCATGTACTCTAAGCCTTCTTCCCCTGCCACTTCCACCCATGTTTCATGAGCTCCATCAGGTTGCCAACCCAGCTTCTTGGCTATACTGAGATCCAAAAAATCATGAGTGCTGCCACTATCAATTAAAATCTAGAGTTGCTTCTTCCCACAATAGCCTGTGAGCCTCATGGAGGACACGCTGTCCACTCCATCAATGGCATGGAGAGAAGTAAAAGACTAGTCCTCCTCTTCTTCTATCTCACTAGCCTCTTCCTGTTGAGCATCTTCCTCAAACTTATCTTGAACTTCAATAAAATATAACTGCAATTTTTGTCTCTGAGGGCATTTATGGTTGCGGGAAAATTTTTCATGGCAATAAAAGCACAAATTTTTGATTCTATGTTCAGCTTCCTCTTCAGCCAAGAGGATTTTCGTGGTGGGTCTGCTGCCTTTTTGACTAAAAGAAACATTTTTGACTAATAAAGAGGCCATCTTTTCCTTCGGTTGGGCCCCACTCCTTGTTAACATATTCTTATTAACAGCCCACGTGTTTTGGTTTGAGGATGGGGTGGCCGAAGATGTCTGTGCCACGTACCCTCCATTCCTGCCTTGCGTCTTCTTTTCAGTTTGCCTCGCCATCATCACTTCTTGCATTCTGGCCAATTTCCGAGCCTCCCTCAAGGTGTGCAGCTTAAAGAGGCAAACTGGCCCTTCATAGTCCTCCCAAAGACCCGATAGGTATATGTCTACTAGATATTCTTCGGGTAACCAAAGCTTGCACAAGATCATATCAAACTCGTCGTTGTAGTCAGCCAGCGTTCCACGTTGCTTGAAGCGAGCGAGGTCGCTCATTGGGGTCTCGTGAACAGGTCCAAAACAGTCTTTAATCTCTTCGGTATATTCTTTCCAGGTAGGCCAAATTCCTTCCCACGTCTTCTCGTACGCTTGATGCCACTGGAAGGCTCATGGGTTAAGATGCATACTTGCAATCTTGATCTTAGATTCTTTTGGCGTTTCATCTAGCTCAAAATATCTTTCACACTTCAAGAGCCAGCCAAGCGCATCTTCCCTCGTAAACCTGGGGAACTCCATCTTCGTAAACTGAGCGGGTCTCCTATATTCTCTTCTTTCATTCCCTTCTCGTGATCATCAGGATCATGATGCCGGTCAAGGTTCTGTCCGTTTCGAGGATTACCATCTCTTTCAGCATCTCGGTCCCTAACCAGTAATTGGAGTTGTTGAGAGAGCCCATCAACCAGGTCAGTCAAAGCCTCAATCTTGCCATTATTTTCTTCAATCTTGACTAAGCAATCTTCCATCTGATGCTGATCTTGTTTGATCCATCTCCGAGTCTTGACTATATATCGTGCGACTGGAGAGAGAGAGAGAGGGAAGGCCGAGGAGCGTCAGCTCTGATACCACTATTGCGTAGAAATAATTTGGACTTGTAGGAATTAGGAAGAGATGAGGGAAAAGATGAGAGAAGAACAGAAAGATAGGTAAAGGTAGAGAGGAATGAGAGATTAAGAAGAGGTCGAGAGAAATTGAGGAACAAAGGAAATTTATTTAGTCACCACTGAGATAAACTACAATTCAAATGCCTTAACATATATATAGGCTTCACTCACTTACCTCACCCAACGGCTAATTTCACAACACCGCTAAATCATTATTCAATTCTAACTAACTAACATTAACATTTTATAAAACTATAACAACTATTTGATTACTGAGTCCTCAACTCACCCCGTGGTTTACATTTTACAAGTGAAGGCTCCGATAGGGGCAAGGGAAAGGAAGGTGCAACTGAACATTAAGGGGACTAGTCAAATTGTATACTCCCTTTTCATTTATTTTGGTTTATCATGAATGTTGTATGCATATGCTAACTTAGGACATATATATCTTTTTGTAACGCACTTGCACGATTCCTATTGTAAACTGTGGGTATCTCAGCCTGTGATGTGTTAATTGTTTTGTATTGGCTATGAGAGGTCGAGATATTAGTACAAGTGTTAGTTTTGTATTGATACATGTGTTAGATCGGCCATTGGATTGATTATATGAGGTTGTTGCCCCCCTTGGGTTATGATATCCATCTATGGGATCAATGTTAATCTCGATTATTATAACTTTGTTCTGTGTTTGGTGTTATGCATGCTTGGTAATGTCAAGGATGACATTACAACAGTCCTCCACGATTTTCTGAGATTTTACCCAAATAATTGAAGTAGAAGCAGCCATAGTGTGCATATTGCTCAAATCCATCAACACATATGGGTTTTCTTTTCTATAGGTAATCAAAATGATACTTAAACTTGGTTCCTGATGGAACTTTGATGACAAAACAACAACAAATTCTCTTCCTTGCCATCCAAGAATCTCATTGTTTTAGTACCGACTTGATGGAGTTTATATAACAGAACAACAAAAATCAACACCAAAACAGGACATAAAAACTCTCATTGACTCAACTGCTATATGTTTACAGAAACACCATAACATACCCAAGAATTAATACCAATGCATAGAACTAACAGGACTGCCAAGTCTCTAACTAGTTAAATGAAACAAACACATAGAACCACAAGCAAAAACACAATAAAAGAGCATGATAATTCTCTAGCTTTTGAGAGGCTCAAGGCCCTCCCAATTACCATCCTCCAATATAATTCTTTGCACCCTTTCCTCACTCCCTTCATTCTTCATAAAACCCACTCCATCATTTTTTCTTACATCCACTGCCTTCTTTCTCTTTGTTCAACCCCTTTTCTGCTCTTGCATTCCTTTTTCTGAAACAAGTCCCCTGGGTTGTATTAGCACTTGGCCCAGCTGGCCATCAGTTTCACAGCTAAAATTGACAATAGCAGATTGCCACTTCTATTTTCATGAGTGCAAGTCATTGAGGCAATTGAAATATAAGGGTCTATTTGGATTGGAGAAAACGGAGGAAACGGTAAGAAAGAGGAAAGTTTAATTAAAACATTTTCTTTGATTTCAAATTTAAATCAAACCTTCCTTTCCCTTCCCTTTCTCCTCCAGTCTTTTCAATCCAAGCATTCTCTCAAAAAATCAGGAACCATTCAAGTACGACAACTAATCTGATATTCAGGCAAGGATAGAACGATAAAACAGAAATCCAAAAATTTTGAAGTCTCTTAAATAGTTTATGCGCCAAAAATTTTGAAATAATGCAGTTCCCATCAAGACTATCCAATGCTTTAAAGCTACCAAGTCAATAGGAATCCAGGCTTAATCAATGGTGGCAAAAAGCATCAAACAGACGTGCTGGCTTCAGCAGATTAAAAGTTTCTACTCAGTTCCTCTAGGCTATTTTTATGAAATTCAACCATAACTGAAGCCTTATCTGATATTGACAATAGGGCCAAGAAATGCAACACAATCACAGGGGAGCATTGTAACTCTTTTCATAGACTCCTCAAACAAAATACACAAACCCAAAAGTTTGACATTGGTCAAATGAGATTCAGAAGGAAACCTATGGAACCTTGTATTATTTAACAATGAAGATACTGCAACTCCTTCATGATTCAGAGAGAAGGATGGGAATTAAGGATATCATGAAAATAAACTCCCTTAGCATTCAGGAGGCTAGAGACTTTTCCAAAAGCAACCAAATTCTTCTTTACCTGGTTTCTGACTCATAACCTTCTCATAAATTTCCTACTAACAACCTACTCTCCACCTCTCATCCAAAGAGACAATAAGTTACAAGAACTATGACCAATTGACCATCTTCCATGGCCACCTCTTCTTCATTTATATCCACCTCATCAGTAGACAACACAGCTTCAGTGCCTGTTACACACTCTTTTCTCTTCATTCTCTTTTCATAGGTTAATAGCACTCTTGGCCCATTAATTACAGGCTGTTCAGTTTCTCAACAGGGTTTTTTAAAATTAAGTTGACAACAGGAAAGCAGGTATATTAAACAAAATACATACAGGTTTTCTTTGAGTAGGGAATGACAGGAAGAAAATGAATAGAAAACATACCTTTTCTAAGTGTCAGTGCCACAACAGCATCATTGTCAACCTGAATAATAGATACATAGGAAAGTGTCAACATGTATGACACAATGGTATAATTCATGTAATGAACATGTTAAATTTCAGAGTGCTAAATCAATAAAAAAGATTTTCAATAAAAATACTGGATAGAGTTAGACATATCCTCAATGAGAGTATTTTCAAGAAACATACAGAATAGAAATCACATAAATTGATGATGCAATACTACCTTCTGATCTGCAAGTGTCTCTGAGTCCTCTAATATTTCCCCTGTACCTGGTAGAACTAATCGCTGATCATTGACAGGTTGATCAGTGATTTCCTGCAACTTCTGCTTTATGTCAATTATTTTATCAGATGGCTTGCATCGGATAAAGTATGTAGACTTGCTACGCTTAACACGAATGTACATATCCTGTTATGCAATCACATAATCACAGTATAAATCACACAATGTTGTGATAATGTATAAAAAACAGTAAAAAATAATTAAAGCTGCTACAAGGGAATCCCATTTCATATATGACAAGAAGAGCATAAAAAATAGTATATAATGCCTATCCTTAGCTCAGAATATTGCAGCATTAGAATGTAATATGGCATTTTACCTCCTGAAATTGCTCACGAAATATATATATAAAGCTACCATGATATTCAAACAAAATATCATAAAGTTATAGCATATTCATGATATGTGTGACTCAACTCCCAAGTTAGGAAAATGAAAAGTGAAAACCCATTCATATCTGGTACAGCTATAAAATCCAAAAACACACCTATTAACCTGTTGCTTTGTAGAAAGATATTAACATAGCCACATCTTATCCAATCCTCCTCCTGTTCTGAAAAAATTGCAAAATCAGATACGCAATTGTTTCTTTTCTTGTTCCTTTCGTAAAATTTCTATTCTTCTCATTTCCCAAGCAACTACTATGAAAAAGAAATACATTTTTTATATGAATTTCCAACGTCCATAATTATTGTAACCACTTTCCTTCTATACACTTCAGTTGCTATCATACCACTTTCCATGGTTGCATTTCAACAATAATGCCTTTCTACCAATAAATAAACCTCTACCTTCCAGATAATCCTAGCTTTAATAGATTTTGATGATTAAAATCAATTTCCACTTTCAGAAAAGCTCATGCATTTTCAATATAACGATCCACATTATGCTGCCACATCATGCATTTTTCCCAACTAGTGGTTTAAGGCCTATCAAATGCACCCAATTGTCAGCGATTTAACAGCTATAGCCTATAGGAGCCTCCTCCAACATCGTAATCTGGATTAAGAAGTGAAATTCCAAAGAAAGTAAAAGATAAAGATAACACGCACACCATTTGTTACGCTTCTGGCGCCTCTGTTTTTCCCCCTTTTCCTTTGGTGACGAACTTTCCGGATTCTGCAATCCACAGAAGAATTGAAGAAAAGAATTCCAAAGAGTCATACTTAAAAAAAAAAAAAAAACCAAGTAACAAAGGAAATCAGTGAAATGCATACGCCATTTTATTTAATGCTTTGAATTTCAACATGCGTGAAAAATTGTAAAGTCAATCGAGGTTGTTTCAAGAAGATAACTTCGCGAGAAAAAAAAAAAAACTGAATTAATTGCGTTTTATGCAGAAAGAAATCAAGGAAATTGGGACTACGAAAGGAGGTCGGAACCGGAAATCAGGATTTTCACCTGGAAATTGGTGAAATTGCCGGGTGAGAAAAGTAGGTGCAGTCAGATTCCGAAAACGTGCTTCCTGAGCCACCGCTCTCAACTCGTTTTTTCAGTAGCTGAGTTCCGTTTGCCGGTGTTTGCAGGCAAGAGCACGAAAGGTAAGGAATTCATTCCACAGAAGCTAGGAGCTTTCCACTGTCCAGTGCAATTCTAAGATGGATCAAATTTTAAGGAGAGAGACTAAAAGCTACTCTGATCTATATCAATAATAATAATAATAATAATAATAATAAAATAAAAGGGATGTAATTATTTTTTATCCTTAACTTTTAATAATTATATGACTATATTAAATATTTTTATATTAATAAAAAATTAAAAAAATAATTTAAATATTATAAAATCTTCTATATTTAAAATTAAAAATTATTTTTAAAAGATATCTTACAAATATAATTAAAATATTTTACTAATATCAATTTGCAATAATAAAAAAATCACTTAATTTGATAGGCTGGTTGCTTTTAAGACAAATCTTAAAATTAAATATGAACTTTTTTCTTTCAAATATTATATCTAAAATTTAAAATTTATACATTTAAAATTTTTTATTTAGATAGTAAAATTTTTTTTAAAATATCTAACTACAAATTTAATTGTGGAGAGGAATCAGAAAATTAGAGATGGACTAAAGTCATGTAGTGACATTAAATGGAATGACTAAAGGCTTGTTTGGAATTATTTTTGTTTTATTATTCAAATATATGTTTTGAGAAAAAATACAAAAAACTTGTAAAAAAAATAAAAACTTGTTTGCTTGTGTTACATGATTAATGTTAACATGATTTTTTTTGTATTTATTTGATATTATATTATATCCCAATTTAACTTAGTGGGCACATGCATACGTGACAAAACAATAGAATTTCTCATTCTAGTCAGTGACATTTAAAGAACTCATAGTTAAATTATCATCATAATGGGTAAACAAAAATACAATACACCAATGTCCAAATGACATATTGAGGTGAGTTTGATGCTGAAAAATTTGTAAAAACAAAAATCATGTCAAAATGTTACAAACCTTTCTTCTTTATGTGGTCGCAACGACATAAAACCTAGCCAAATATACATACATTAATATCTAAACTCTTGTCATGATCAGTCAATGTTGTGAAAATCAAATTAGATTGGACGGTCCAACCATCAGCCACTGAGTAAAACGGTTTGATTCAACTAATTAAACTAAATTAGCCTTTGAACCGAATTGACCTAGATTGAATCGAACAATTTTCATAGAATTAATTTAACCCATAACTCGAAGCAAGTCAATCCAGTTCAAAGCCAAAAAAAATAAAAAAATAAAAGAAATTTAGGCTAAGTTGCTCAAATTCATGATTTCTCTTCTCTATTTCCTATTTCTCTTCTTTAATCTCTAACCCCTCCTCCATTACCCATGCTTAATCTCTGACTTCTCCTCCAACCTCCACCTCTAGCTTTAGCGATCTAGTCTTTGGTATTAAGATCGAAAGCTCATGAGTTGTGACATGATGACATGCCTCCAACTCTAGCATTTTCCTTTGAGATCATGAGCTTGTGCTAACATGCCTCTGCCTTAAGCTCTAGCAATCTTGGCATCTAGCTTAGAACGTCGAGATCCTAAGCACCATAGACAAATTAATGTTTTATTTATATATTGTGTATATAAATATTATTTTTTATTTAATTTTTATGTCACCAGTTCGATCATCAATCTAATCGGTTGAACCATGAAAACTGTGACTCGTTGCTCTTTTCAATTCAACGTCTGATCTAAGTTTTAAAACATTGTGATCAATAAAACCAAACATACATAAGAAGTGTGTAATCTACAAACGCCAACAAAAGTAAAAAAAAATTAACACACCAAGTGATAGCCTTGGTAACATTCCATCTCAGATCAATTTTTGAGTTCCCTTTTACACATTTAAACCTATATAAATTGTTGAAATCAAACCAGCCCTCTAGTTTTGTAATCTGCCTCCAAAGGTAATGAAATTAGACCATCATATAACTTATTTAATTCCTTCACTTAAACATCGTTAGGAGAAACACCACCATCCCTTTCAAGATCTTCATCTTCATGAACTCCATTATGGAATATGGTTATCATTCATTGCCTAAAACTAATCAAAATAGGCATAGTGTATTAGCCAAAAAATCATAATACATCTAAACAAGAGAAAGGATTCTAAAATTCTTTATAATTACACTGATATAGAAAATTCTTTCTAAACCAGTTAAAAATGCATATCAAAACTAGTTTTGAAACCAATTTAGATAACGTTGATTTAGAAGATCGTAGACTTTCTAAACCGTTTAATTAACTGGTTTAGAAAAATAATTTTCTAAACCAGTTTACCCGGTATAGAAAATTGTATAAGAATAACAAATAAAAAATAAAAAACATCTTTTAAACCGATTAAATTTATGCCACCGGTTTAGACCGTACACATTTTAAACCAATTAATGTCAAAACTAGTTTAGAAAGAACTACTTACTAAATTGGTTATGACATTAACTGGTTTAGAAGTTAAACTTTCTAAACTGTTAATGTCATAACTAGTTTAGAAAGTGGTCTTTTTTTTAAATATTTTAGTTTGTTTTATCTAGAACCCCTTATTTTTTAGGGCAAAATTTTCATATAACCTGCAAATAAAAATCAACTAATCTAGTCCAATATAATCTAATATAATTGAATAAACTAATATAAATGAATCAATTGAAATAATATCAAATTCAAATATGTAACTCAAATAAACAATAAACATTGTACATACAATTTCATGAAACTAATCAAACTATATGGAAAAACTTTATAAAAACTATGTACTACCCCATATGAAGCTTTATGAAAATTCCATCCACCATTATTTGACCTCATCAATGTCCTCCTCAGGGAATGATTTAGCAAGCTCAAACATCTAAAAGGAAAACCAAAGTATTAGTCAATTGTAAAGGAAGAAAATACTAAAGTAGATAGACCAAGGAAAAAAAAAACCAAAGCAGTATGTTTACCTCTTAGGTGAATGAAGTCATACCATGCTTGATAATGTTGAAAATGTGTCACATGACATATAAGCCATATCATTGAGATTCTTTAGTTGTTTACGACTCTATAAATGAACAGCAAAATGAGTATTTTTAAAAATTAAGTAAGTTAATCTCTAAAAAAAATATATCTTTACCTTTGGCATGATGCATATAAGGAGGGATGCTTCCCCAACTCAACATGCTGGTATGTCCTTATAACCTAATCAACAAAATTACAAAGTCAAAAATCACTAATTAAACATGACAGATGATGCTTTATAGTGAAGGGATACTTACTGATCCACCGTCTTCTTCAAATCCTTTCCCACATTATAGTGAAGGGAGCATAAGAAGAGAATAATATTGCTTTTCATGATAAGGAGTGCCAATTGCCGATGGCCATTGTAAATAAACATTAATGGGAGTTAAAGAAAGCAAATCCAAAGCATAATTATAATGAAAGATAAAGTTTTTCTTACTTGTGGATATGTAGTGCAATGTAACACTACTTTCCTTTAGATAAAGTTTTTCTTACTTGTGGATATTCATGTCTCAGCTTAGGAGTGTTCCTAAACTCTTGGGTGTCAGGTAAAGCAATCCAAACTTATGATCTTTTCCTAATGATACCAAATCGTAATGGATAAACCTACAATATTAGATGGAAGTTAGTTAAACTGTTTGATTATACTAATTTAAGAAATTAAAAGATGATTACTTGATTAAGTCTATATACATATATCTTAATAATTAACACAAAAGTGAAACTAATGGTAAGGATAGGTGGTTCTTTTGCTTAGGCTCTATCTCCAACACTTAGACAAGTTATATTTTGAAGGACCCAAATTTCAAGAGTCACTAAGAGATATAATGAAAAGATGAAAGCCACAAGTGGGCTCTAATAACATGGCAAGCTAAGTATTATAGTCTTATACCTAACTTTCTCTCAGACAATAGATTAAGCAAACACACATTGAAATGCAAAGTGTTTTAGATCTAAGGGATTTACTAATGGATTTGGAAAATATGAAATGAAAAGGGTTACCTTGAAGAACAGTGACAGTGGCGACAGCTTAACAAATGGCGATAGTGGTAATAAAAAAACCTAGCAAAAAAAAAAGAGCATGCCTCAATGTAGGTTGAAGCAGATTAAGATAATAGTTGGTTTATGAACGACAATCACAATAGTAGTATCTACTTTGCAAGGTTGAAGAAGAACAAAAGAAAGGCAAGGTTTAAGGAAGCTGAAATGAAAGAAAAACAAGTTTGCATTGTTTATGACAATGCCATTAATGAAAATGAAGTTGTTTTTCATCTTTTCTTATTATAAAAAATAATAACGCCAAAACATCTTTTAGATATTCTCATTTTTTCTAATTCTCTGGAACATCATTCTACTTTTTTGTTTTCCAAAACAAGTTGTCAAAAACATGCTACCAAACATGTTTTTTTCATTTTTTGATTCTAGAGAACAAAAAACTGTTCTCATAATAGATTTCTAAACAATGCTTAAATAATGAAATTACTCTTATTAAATTCTCTCCCTCTCTATCCTCTCTAGCTCATCACATGCAATTGATTTTTTATAGTGTTCTAGCCAATCATGATTCTAACAATGATGGGAATGACAGTGAGTAAAGTAACATTATTGTCAATTGCAACTCTCACCTACCTCTGTAACATCTAAAAAATTTTAACCCTAATTTATTAACCTAATGAAGTAATTAGTGAGTTAATGAGGTGTGTGGTTAGAAGGGCTTAACTTGGCATAATTAATGTGATTTAGCCCTAGAAGTGGGTCTGGATGATGACAGGCCACCCGAGTAAGGAAAGAGGATGAAAAAGTGAAGAATTATTTTTATGCCACAAGTCGCGGCGCGTGGTTAGTCTGCCACGGCGCATAGAGACAATTTAAATGTAAATGGCTCCTCTGTGCCATGTGCCATAGTGGAAGGCACTATGTATCGCGACACACGGCCAAAAATCAGATAAATTAGCTTGTGAACTGCATGAAAACAGAAGATAAAAAAGAGGAAGAAAATGAAGAGCTCGATTTTAGCTCTGCTATGGCACAATATTTGGTTCCATTGTTCATAGATTAAAGCTCCCAAACACCCAAGGTAACATTATGGTGTCTTCTTCTTCCTTTCT